ATATATATATATATAATATATTATATTGAGCTCCTTAGTTTAAAAGAATTAAGAAATGTTGATAAATTTTTCATTAAACATGATAAGAGTTAAGCTACTATATTTCTAATAAATTAATAAAAAAATTATACTAGTATCAATTTTTTAATTAGAAACAGAGTAATTACTTGATTTCAGGTAGGTCAATGTTGAGTAACACATGCAGTGGTACGCCTCGAAGACAATCAGCAATGTCCTCGTCGTCGCTGGTCATTGAACAGTTAAGTTGCTCCCCAACCTTTCGCCTGAGGTTATTAGGATCGTGTACAGAAGCCCAAGGACTTAGAGCTGAGCCACTCAATAGTATTACTCTGTGCAGCAAACCTATTCATACAGTAACAATCGTTAAATATAATTCTATCCCGAAAGAAAAAATAAAAAAGATAGATATATTTTTAAAAAATTTTAGAGCTTGATTTTTCAAAGGATTTGTACTTCAATGCATAAAAATGAATGAATAGAGCTTTCGTCTTTTATCTCGCCTTTTATATTGACGTATAAGTCATAAGTCGATGAGAAATATGACGTTGCATTTTTGCGCTAAAGTGTTTTACTTATTTTTTTTTCTTTATATTCAATTTTGCTTTTAAGATAAAAGGCATCCTCACAGGTTTACAGACTTTTAAAAGAAAAAAGTTTTACTCTGTGTTAAAAAATTCTTATTATCTTGAATCTTAAGAAATTCCGGGGATGAAATGTGTATCATATTTTTTTTAATACCCCTGAAAAATATTTTCCATTGCAATATTTCTAAATGTAATTTAATAATTAATATAAAAAAATCTTAAAAAATTCAATATTTAATACTTTGTGTTATTTTATGTAATTGGTAAAGATGAAAAACAAGTAATAAATAACATAAATAAAATGAAATTGAAAAATGTATTTGTATTTATTTTATTATTGATTACAATTTATGACTGAAACAAAAATAAGCTTTTAGGTATATTTGTGTAGAAAAATAACTCACACATTTAAATTGAAAAAAAAGTTTGCCATTTTAATCCGCTAGAGAATAACACTAAAAGCCGTATTTTTAATTAATTTAAAGGTATATACATTTATACATATATAAATATCTATTTTTATGTATCATTGCAAAGTTTTGCAGATATTTAGCCATTTATAAGGATAAAAAATTCCCGGGGGCTATTCTAGATATTTACATTTTATAATACGTAATCAAAATTTTTTCCGATGCAATTTAAGAAATAAATTTTTAAATCTTTCGTTGAGAAAAAAATAACATATTTCATTTTCTGATTATTAAAATGTAGACTGGAAATAATTTAGTTGAATTTCTATAGTTGTATATTTGAAAAATGACACTCTAATAAAAAAATTGAGTTTATTAAATAGAAAAAATTTCGTACAGTAAGAATCAAACAGAAAAATTTTTGAAGTAAGAAATTGAATTTTTGAAAAAAAAAAAAAATTTCGTGTTAAAGATTCTCTTTTTTTTTTTTAATTAAGATAATTTTTCTATCAGTGTATATTTAACGACAAATGATTATTTAGACTTCCATTAAATTTTTAAATCTTCTTAATAAAATTAAAGTAATTTTCATAAAAAAATTTAATTAATTTTTTATAAAAATATTTTATCCATAATACTCTATTTCATAAAAAAAAAGAAATATATTTAGTTAAGAGAGAAATTAAATTCACGTGCACGCTTTGAAAAAAAAAATCAGCTAACATATTTATAAAAATAATAACGGTATGGTATAGAAATATTTTATCTAATTAACGATAAATCGATTTACCATTATCAGTTATAAATTTATTAATTAAACTTTGAAAATTCAACATTGGATAGAGATATATTTTTCTACATGAATCTTTAACAATGAGAAAGTTATTATCTGTATAAAAAAAGTATTGAAAAGGTCTTTGAAGAGAGCGATAATAGAAAACTCGTTCACTTATCACTTTTAGTAGAGAAGCGTTGAAATCAATAATAAACACGAAACAATACAGCATGGGTACAATAAAGAAACCAGGGAAGATATTTTGCAGCAGCTTAAGTACCGAGGATAACGACGAAAGACGTTTGCTGATGAAGCTAACGCTAGGTAAGGTAGAAGAAAATCGAGTTGTTGAAGTAACTTTGCAATTTTCCTCCGGGGATTGAAAGTAAATCAAACTTTGGGGGCGCAAGAGAGAAAGTAAGCGAGAGCTAAAGTAAAGGGAATGTCATCATAGACGGAATATCGCAAAGCTCATTTATTGTCTTAGTATAACGATCTCCTTTTTACTGTCGTTAAAATAGATATTGGACGTTCGGCGTTGTTAGAAATAATTATTACTGTTACTATTTTTACTCCGTTAATTATTCAAGCAATACATATCTGCTATTTGAATATTAAATAAATTTCATTGTTAAAAAAATAAATCAAGTTTTATTGAATTAATATTTTTTAACTAAGTAAAACTATATTTTTTCCTATTTAAAATAAAAAAATTTAATTAACTGCTGTACGTTGTCTGATAATAACTTTATGGAGAATTTGAGTAAGAAATTAATTAAATAAAGTGTTACATTTAATTGTAATACTGAAAAGTGTTCGAAAGAAGTAAATTTCCTTCAAAACATCATGATGACAAAACACAGATTATATTATTATTATTATTCTGAACAATTAATGGTTTTCAAAAAGATTTTACAACTTTTAAATTTCTTTGGCTATGAGAGAGTAATTTACAAGATTTCAGAATAACCGAGATAGTTTTAAAACTTCCTGAAACCTTTTTAAAAATATTGGAATGCTCTTCTTATCAATCGTTTATGTTAATAGCTTTGGAGTACGCTGTTGTGTAACTCGAGTGATTACTCGGAATAAAACTTCAAAGAGAAGAGGGTTTTGTTCTTTCATTACGGCGAATTAAATTTATGCTTAAGAATCGGTATTATAAATTTAATGAAATTTATTTTTTGTAAATGTTTATTACACATCTTAGTTTCTCTAATTGTTAGTCGAGAGTACATATGCGCATTCGTTTTATTATTCTTTTCGATGAATTCGGAATATCAAAGATGGCAAACTTAAATAAATATGTTTATTTTTTCATAAATTTTTTATTTCACATCGAAATAAACACGTGTAAAAAATATTTTTTATACTTTTTTAAAGGAATGGCCATTCGTACGTGAAAAAGTTCCAAAAAATTCACGCTTTGTGAACCCAGGTGAAAAAATATTATAATGTCATTATAATGCGTGTCAAAAATATTTATTTTTCCAAAATTTCCCATAAAAAATCTAAGAAATACCAGAAACTCTGCTTTAAGATAATTAATTAGATTTAAGCTGGAAACAGTCATAGCGAGAGAGGTCAATTGATAACTTTAAAATGAAATTTTCTGAAGGATCAGGAACTCAGTACTAAGACGCTTTTTCCATAAATTTTACTTAAACGATTAAATCAAAGGAGGTTTACTCAAATTTCGCAAAAAAACTGTACAACGATTCGGGAACACTGCGCCAAAATATTTTTTCTTGACCTTGAAACGCTGAAATTTGAGCTAAATTAATTTATTAATCAATAATTATTATTATTATATCGTCTTGAATTTTTATAACTGTTTATTGAAAAACAAGAAAAAAAACAATAATTTAAAGATTTTTTAAAAATAATTTTTTATTATCTGAAACTTATTATTAGTCTCTATACTCTAGCAATTTATTTCGGAGACTTTGCTTTCTGGTTTGATCGTCTACCTTCTTCCAATCTCGTTCTTTCCCAAAGGCAGCTGTGTATTCTGAAAATTAGATAATTCATTTCGTACAAATAAATATTATATTTTATAAAAAAAAATCTGGTGTTGAGGTCTCAATCTTTCATAAAATTTTATTTTGAAGTTATCATAATAAACCTTTCTCTTTTTGACTGTTTCCAGCTCAAACCTAATTATCTTAACGCAGAGTTTTTGGTATTTTTGACATTTTTGATGGGAAGTTTCGGAAAAATGAATATTTTTGACACGCATTATAATGACATTATAATGCGCAAATCATTATAATATTTTTCCACCTCGGAATGTAAAGGCTTTAAGCGTGAATTTAACGAATTTTTTTTCGCATGAATAAAAGTGTCCTTCTGTGACTTTTATTGACTTTTTTTGCAAAGTTTACATAAGTCGGCTAACAGAAAAATTTCTACAAATTTTATTAAATTCTTACAAAACTGGTTTTTTTTAGTCAAATTTTACTTGAATCAAGATTATTTTGATTTTCCTGATTATTTCTCTTGTTTCAAGCAAAATTTTTTTTTCATAGAGCAATAAAGTATGTGCAAATATCAGATGGTAAAAATTTAGTTACAATAAAGCAATCTCAATGCTTGTGAGACGTGTGATAGTATAATAATAACTTTGTTGGAATCAGATTTTAAATTTAGTAAACAGCATGAAACACATATCTGTTTGTATTTATTAAGGCAATTCTGTTATTTTTAACAACAGTTGTAGCAACTGAAGATATTGCATTTGAGAATTTTTATTGGATTTTTTATAATTTTATATTATGTATTATATTACAGATCCTTGACTAGAGAAATGCCCCTACAAGATGTTACTCTGGTAGTAATGGCCACAGAGATTGGCGACAGGTGCTTTATACTCGGACGATAGACGTTGAGAATTTAATGTCTTCCTAGCAAATGTTCTCAAACACGGACTTTATTTTTTTTTTTTCACTATCAAATAACTTTTTCATTGTTTATTGTTTTTCGATAAATTTTTATTTCATTCTACCTCATTCAAATTCACTCGGAAAAAATGTAAGATGTATTTTTTTGTTTGTGAATAAAATTTATAATGAAAAACAAACATTAGTAAACATTTTTTAGTTCAACTGATTTATCGTCCAAGTTTTCTTGTATGAATGAATAGCAACTTGAATTTCGACAAAACACTCGAAAGCTCAGAACGTTTTTTATTCTTATTTAACTGAAAGTATTTTGCAACAATTCGTTCTTACTTTATCAGATTTAAAAGCTAAGAAAAGACGATTATTTATTTTACTTGTGATTCGGATAATTCTGAAGAAAAAGAATCATATAACATTTTCTGTGAAAGCGTTTTTAAGCTTTAAATGTAAGCTTTCACATGGAATCAAGCGCATTAGATAGTAATTTTTTTTAAATCTTTTATAAAATAAAACATCAATAAATCTAGTTAAGGACATTTTAGGTTTCGTTTTTATGTCGACAGTTTAAGTTATCAATTGTACTTCTTATAATTTAAATTCAAAAAATGTAATTAAAAATTAATAATTAAAAAAATATCAAAAAATTTTTTCATGGGCGTGATTTAAGAAGAAATGAGTATGTCTGACCACAGCTTTGGTATAGTTACTTGATTAAGAGAATACATAGTTAATCGGAAATTAGCAATTGAAGTTTTTTTTTTTTAATAAAAATAAATTAATGTTACAAAATTACAAAATATTTGAAAAAGCTGTTTTTCGAAAATTTATTTATATAGTCAATAAAAAAAATTGAGTTCATGTTAGCGAATGCATGATATGTTATAGTATAGTGAATTTTTTATTTTATGCTTTTTATTTGAAGATCGGTGAAAAAACAACGGTTTTTTAAACACAAGCATAACGGATGACAAACTTCCGGTACTATCTGTATGGCAACCCCCTCAAGCGAATTTTTTGTTCCCGTTTC